TGCGTTCCAGAGCGTTCGGCCTCTGGAATGCACTGGAACACAAACCGGCTGGATCCCTGCATTCAGGGGCGTGGCTGTGCAATAATGTCAATGGCACCGCAGCCACGCAGTACGATCGACGGCACTCGAACATGTGGCACATTAGTGCCTGCGTTCTGGTCCAGTGTGATCTGCAAAAATAGTGCATGCAGGCACTAATGTGCGTGCCGGCTATCGTACTGTGGGCGGGGGTGTGTAGCTGCTGTGCCATTGACTTCAATGCAACCCCATGCCCCCTCTCACCCCTGAACGCATGGAACCTGCCAATTTGTGTTCCAGTATATTCCAGAGGCCGAATGCTCTGGAACGCAGTCTTTGTGGTGTGAACCGGCCCTGAATGTTGCATAACGCATGAGACATGACATGATTCTGTATGAAACCATGTAGCTAAATAGTGTATCAATAGAATACTGTAAATGCTGCCAAATGTTTCATAATCTCCTACTAGGTGGTTGTTTATACAAGTTGTACAGCATAATAATAAACTTGCATATGGAGTAACTCTATGCCACCCTTTATTTTGGGTGCTCACAAGGTGACCATACTACTGAGAACACCACTATATACAAAAAATTGAGTTTACATGAGGTGTATACACAACTTTGTGTTACTGTTAAAAACATAATGTATTGTACTACATTAAAAATCCAACATTTGTTTGTACATAGAGTACTTAAAATTCATATACTTCTTAAATGTTCCCCTTGTTTAGTTGCTTTTGGAAAACTACAGCCCTTACTCAACTCTACACATCTTAGTCTCATATATCTATACAACCATCTGGTCATTATATAATACATATTGGCTGCAAGGGCTTGTAGGAGAAAAGAAACTATTTTTTTGTATATATTGGTGTTATAAGTATTTAGGGGGGAGAGGCAAAAAGAAAACATAGGGTGCATGATCCATAGGAGGGTTAACTAGTTGGAACCATACTACTGAGAAGATGGTGCTGAATTTATCCGAATGAAAGAGCTGGTCCTCATACACTCCTGGTCAGAGGAACATGAAAACGCCTGAGCTTTCCTCCCATCTAGATACGTAGTTTTCTCCATAAAAGAAAGAAATAATTGGCACATGCTGTGTAAACTGGGAATTCTATCTATTTTATCTAATTCCAGCAGCTTTAGTTTTAGTCTCATGTCCATCAAGTTCAAACTTCTTGCCATACATTTATGAAAACATCTAACAGTTATTCATATTAAGTACCATGGTATAGAGTCCCGAACTAGTTTAGGTATCCACAGTCACATGCCAACAGAGTAGACCTGTTTCAAAGTGTGGTGGCTTGCACATACACAGCCCTGTGGTCTAGTTTGGTCAATTGAGTATACAGGTACCTGCAGACATATGTAGGGAAACAGGTTAGGCGTCATGAGTGAATGCTTAGGTATTTACATTTTACTGGAGGTACACATACAAAGAAGTACATGGAAACGCACCTTTTGCCAAAAAGTAGGACCTCTTAAGAGGTAGACTATGGCACAGTCTCTCTCTATGGGGCAGCATCTCTATGTCAATGCCTTTTGTACAATCTCTTTCTTGATAGGGCAGTGCCACCGTTTCATGCAGCCCGTCTTTATTGGGCAGTCTGTGTGTACGGCAGTCACTATATATGGAGCAGTGTCTATCTTTATGGGGCAGTTTGTACATAACACAGACTTTAGTAATCTGTGTATAAATTGCAGTCTCTCTGGAAGTTTCTGTAGCACAGCAGCTCTTTTCCAACATGCTGTGAGAAAACCAGGCTTGGGGTTTGTAGGTTGAGTAGTGGGTACACATGGAAGGGTGTTACATGTTTGCATATAAGATTAGATACAGGTCTATGAAACTTAACTAGCAAACGTCTCTAACATAATGGCTTGTGTTATGGCTTTACATTTACCCTTCTCAAGTGGAAAGGTCTAAAAAAAAATCTGATTTAACCTACTGGAAAAAATAGAAAAATAAAATCACTGTATATCGCTTTTTATTAACTTCGACGTTTCCCATTTTCGTAAAATCTGGGATCATATCACAGGCTGAACAAAATATTTGACACTTCTGTGCATGTAGGAGTATGCATGCAAGGATTGTAGTTTGGAGTTTATGGCTCATCTACTGCTTTGGTGACTTTCTTTGGCTTATTGTTTTAACGGCCTAACAGACATGAAATATGTTACATGGCTTATAACTTTATCAGTTAAGGTCTTAGGACATCTATGTACACAGACCCACACAAATGTATACAACAGTCAATGATATGAAATCATTTTTGGGTCACGCCTTAATGACCAAGGAAACATGTGGGTCCCGAGGTTACACGGGTTGAGAACCACTGTTCTACACAATTCTTTTCTCTGAAATGAAAAACAGACCTCAGGACAGACGCGGGAGATGGAATCTTGTCTGTGCAGAAAATGTTTATTTACAGACACTGACACCATGTGGTCAATATTGTTCCTACACTTCTTTTTGCAGGACTGGCCATTTAAAGAGGATCCAGCATCAAATGTCTTTCATAAGTGCATACATGCAAAGTAAGATGCAACTAACACTCACTGGTATTTTTTACCTCTTACTCAGATCAGAGAACTCCCCATGCCAATGCACTATCCAGAGTCAGAATCTAGTTAATGGTTAGAGATAGTGATGTCGGGGCGAAACTGGTCATTTTCATGAGTACTCTTACTCGTGAAAATGCTTTGGATACGAAGCACCGATAGCGGCCCTTCCAATTCGTAAACTGAAGCGGCTGCCTGAGGTCCCGTGCTTCCTGGGGACCATGGCGGCCTTCCTGTGAACCATGCAGCGCCTGTTGAAAGTGCTGACCACATCCTCCTCCTTCCTGGGGAACCCTGTCGCCCATGGGAACCCGCACTGTCCTCCTAAGATACTCCACTGGAGAAATAAAGCCGCCACCCTGGAGCAGTACAGACTATGTAGCTTCTGCACTGCTGAATAATGTATTTCTGGGATTTGTAGTCCTTTATGGCCAGTTTCCATTTGGCATTGCTGTATACTGTAGTGCAGGGATTTGGTGTCCTCTATAGCCACCGCCATTCTGCATTGCTGTATAATGTATTGCTGAGATTTGTAGTCCCTCTACAGCTTGGAGTCAATGGGAGAACTACCAGAATCACAGCGGTTGGTGCTGTGGCCAGCCCCTGACACTTCACTACTGTGTTAAAATCATTACTGTGTATTTGTTTTAGAAAAACTGTCACATGACACACACACACAAAAAAAAAGGTATCGGCGAGTACTTATGGAAAGTATCAGTACACGGACTGGAAAAAATGGTATCGGTGCCTCCCAAGTTAGTGATGGCTCAGGAGACAGCACAATTATGTAAATCCTGGTGTCTGTGCAGTTCTTGACTGTATCCTCAAATGACTGACAAAGATCAGCCCCTGCTAAAGCCTTTCTTATTGTGACTTACTTCCAAAAAGGTCTCATTTTGTAGTTTGAGCCATCACTGGGGAAAAGGAGACTGAAAAACATGCCTGTAGCAGTGACCACATCATCATCTCAATCTAGGTAAATTTGCCTGCAGCTCAAGAACTGCATATATATATATATATAATGTAGAGAACAAGGATTTAAAAAAAATAATAATGTTTTATTACCCCCACACTAAAAGGGTTAACTGTTCGTTTTGGTTTAATAACGTTATACTCACCCGATCCCCCAAGCCAGCTGGCTGTGACAGTGCTCCCTCCAGCTTCTCTCCTCCTACGCTGCACCAATACTATGTCCCCCAACCGTTCTCATGTCCTATACACTGTACATAGAATGTGATGATACAGGGAACTTAGACTGCTGCAGAGGATGGGGAGAGACACTGGAAGGAACATTCTACGAGCAAGCTGGCTTGGAGGTTTGGGTGAGTATAACTGATATTTTCCTCCCTAGACCAAAACAAGCCTTTAATGCTTTCACTGTGGGGGTAGTTCCACTGCAAGTATTGGGCAGTCTGCCCTATTCCACTGTTAATACAAATTTTGCCCAGACTTGTTCTTTAAAGTGGCAATAAAGGCAATTCTAAATCCCCCCATCTTAAAAGGAGAACTAGGGGGGGTCAGGGCTTTTCCCCATAGTTCTCCTAAGGGTCACGGGAGAACACAAACTCTCCCGTGACCCTTAGGAGAACTAGCGTTCTCCCGTGACCCAAAGCTCAGTATACCGCAAGCTACAGCTCGCGGTATACTGAGACGCCGCAGCCGGATCCTGACAATATTGTCTGGATCCACCAAGCTGCGGGATTGACAGCTGGCTCTGCCTATCCAGAGGCAAAGCCAGCTGTGACCACCCCCTCCCCCGTCTGTTCCGCCAGTCAGCGCTGGAGGATCGGACAAGGGAGGGGGGAATCCCTGCAGGGAGCCATGAGTGACAGTCACGGCTCTCTGCAGGGATAGATCGAGAAGTGAGCGAGCTATGGTATGTGTTCGCTCACTTCCCGATCTACTGAGCCGACCTGTGACAGTTTCATTGCGACACGTCGGCTCAGATTATGAGGCTGAGTGGAAATCACTCGCCTCATAATACTCCTTTAAGCCTTTAGCCATAGCGTACTAGTATACACAGCATTTTAGTACATTATGGCAGACTGGCGATGACGTGCACACTGGAGTTATTTAATCGCGGTGAAAAAAACAAAAAAGACGTGCACACTGTGGATGAAAGCAGTCAAGTGCAAGCATTATATTTAGCAAAACAATCTCAAAACGCAGCCAAAAAAATCCCCAATTAAAAATAAACATTTTAATAAAATATATACAGTTTACAATAAATACGTTTGCTCAGTCGGTTCAGAAATAGAGAAAACACAGCATCAAGCATTTGGTAAGAAACCGTAATAAAATAATGGGCTGCTGTGGCTTTCAGTCAGAAGAAAGCAGGGACAAACTCCAATGAAGACATGTTAATCTGCATTTTCATTGCGTCTTGTATCCAAAGGGAGGCTTTAAAGAAAAGTCCAGCGGCCGCAATGGATGTTAGTTGAAGCGTCCACACCTTAGACTAAGCTCACAGATTCACCATTAGCACTTTAACAGTTCAGTTTTGCCAGAAATCGGTTCGGGGACCACTTCCCCTTTCATAAACGCATCCTGCAAACATAAAACCATTGTTAATATCATGTTCTGTCATATATAAGTGCTTGAACAATCAAGATCATAAAAAGGTACATTTCAATGCTTCTACACTTCATGGCGTGCAGCATTTCAATGGGAAAAAAAAACACTGCCAAGGTGCAGGCTGCTTTAGGCAATTTGTTTTACTGCACAATGTGCAACAATAGATTTCAATTGTCTCTAAGTGAATCTGCAGGTCAGAGACCGTCAGAGTAGAACATGGTAAACAGAGGCTAAAAGTTCATGATTTATTATTTGAGGGAGCCAAGTCTAGGGGCTCAGATCTTTTTTGATGAGGACATCGGAGTATCGCGTTTCTTTAGAGACAAACTAACACAGCAAGTCACATTAGCCTGAGGTGAGAGGAAAGGCCTCACATGCTTATCACAGACATACCCAGACCTTCCTATAAGTTATTCAAAAAAACTAAAAGGCAAGCGGTTACAATCGATTGAAAAATAATTCGAAATACAACCATTTGAATCAGTGTGTAGATAGGCAGCACACAGTGAACAGAATCCCTTCCCTTCAGTTGCAGAGGGAACTTCTCCATCTGGTCCATGCAGATGTAAAGCTAAGCTTGTGATTGGCAGCTCACCCGTCTACTCTATTCGTGTTGTTGGTTCTGGGCTACTAAAGAAGCCCAGAACCAGCATATTTAAGCTACCCTGGGAACAGAGCAGAACTCAGCTACATCGGGCTTCACCAGCTCCAAAGCTATAGATGAGGCCCATCTCATGGTTTGTGGAGTGCGTTGATGAAAATGCTTTAAAGCACAGTGATGTAGTGGTTAGCGCTTCTGCCTTGCAGCACTGGGGGCCCCTGGTTCGAATCCCGGCCAGGTCACTTATCTGCAAGGAGTTGGCATGTTCTCCTGTGTTTGTGTGGCTTTCCTCCCACACTCCAAAGACATGCTGGTAGCTTAATTGGCTCCTCTCTAAGTTGGCCCTCTATGTATGCATGCGAGATAGGGACCTTAGATTGTAAGCTCCTGGGGGTAGGGACTGATGTGAATGTGCAACTATGTAAAGTGCTGCGTAAATTGTCGGCGCTAAATAAATACCTGTAATAAATAAAAAGCTTAAAATGTATTGGGAGAGCAACCCGCTTGGTGACCATGGTATTTGGTGAGGTGTTAATCCTTCTTTCAAATTTGAGTTTGCCCTTTTTTTTTTATTCTAATAATTTGCATTTGTCCAGGATCTTACCACTACAATTAAGTATGTTGAGTCTGAAACATGTCAGACCGGCTTTGTTACCTTCGTGCCAATAAAGAAACTGCTTAAATCGGTACTATAAAGGATTTACTGTGAGGTATGATTAGGAGTACTTGCTCTGCCAGTTTAGAGAAGGTGATGAGATTGTGAAATGGAGTTCGGCTCAGTGTAGCAGACATAAAGGTGATTCACTCCAGCATTAAGCCGTATTGGGTGTTTTGGCCTTCATCATTGCAACATATGAAGCATATGAAGCATGACTCCATTATGTGTGGCTACCAGGATGACAGCAAGTCAACTTAGGGTGAGTTGAGCCAGTGGCAGCCTACATATTTCTCCTTTTATACACCAAAACACAGATCATCTCCAGCTATTTTCTCACTCTTCATACTCTATTCATAAAAAGACGTGCCTCCAGTAGGGTGACCACGATTAAGCATGTTCTTATGCAGTGACCAGACTAAAAGCCTGCGATTAGACTGACAGCTCAATGCACCGAACCCAAGTAATGACCAGTATCAGTTGGCTCAGCTGACAATGCACTGCCCTTTTCTAAATATCTACTCTTCTCTGCCCACCTGTTTGTGAAGAAGGAAAAGATGGCCAGCTACTCTGCAGCCAAACATTTGACAGATGGCTCACAAACTAACAGGGTTATTCACAAAAGGGTGAAGAGTTAGGAGAAGGCAGGAGAAGTGAACAATCTAGGACAGGGGTGCCCACAATTTTTGTGTTAAGCTCTACTTTTAAAATGACGAGCTACATGAGATCTACCAACGAAAAAAAACCTCCCTCACTCTCTCTCTCTTGGCTGTCTTTCCTCGTTTTCTCTCCTGGCTGTCTCTCCTTTTCTCTCCTGGCTGTCTCTCCTTGCGCTCTCCCCTGGCTATCTTTCCTCACTCTCTCTCCCCTGGCTGTCTCTCCTCTCTCTTGGCTGTCTTCCCTCGCTCTCTCTCTCCTGACTGTCATTCCTCGTTTTCTCTCTTGGCTGCCTCTCCTCGCTCTCTCTCTCCTGGCTGTCTCTCCTCGCTCTCTCTCTCCCCTGGCTGTCTCTCTTCGCTCTCTCCCCCCTGGCTGTCATTTCTTGTTTTCTCTCCTGGCTGTCTCTCCTCTCTCGGCTGTCTTCCCTCGCTCTCTCCTGACTCTCATTCCTCGTTTTCTCTCCTGGCTGTCTCTCCTCGCTCTCTCTCCCCTGGCTGTCATTTCTCGTTTTCTCTCTTGGCTGTCTCTCATTGCTCTCTCCCTGTTACATAGCACTTCAACCACCAGAAAGGTGTCAGGGAGCTTGGCTCAGCAGTAATCATGTGTGCACAGCTACATAAATGGAATAAAGGGGGTCACCATTCACACCCTTCCTGATCTACCAGCATCAGCTTTGAGAGCTACTGTTAGATCACCATCTACCTAATGGGCACCCCTGATTTAGGACAACATAGCTGATTTGGAAAAAATCTCCAATTCAGCTCACTTTCCTAATCAGCTATGTTGTCCTAGATTGTTCTCTTCTCCTGCCTTCTCCAAACTCTTCACCCTTTTGTGAATAACCCCCTAAATGATTTAAAGCCTTCCAAATCAGAAAAATTCACAAAACACGCCTGATTATGCCTTTGGAGAAATGAATTTAAAAAAAATGTATGCTCTGGGCATTATAAATCATCCTTCATGTATGTTTACTGGAAAACACTCAGACAGTGACACCGCGGTACTGCCCATATGAACCTTTAATGTCATTTTAGGCATTTTTCATAAACATATACCATCACACTCTTGGGATAGGGGAGAACTTTAATTCCAACTTTATTTTGATGAGAACTGCAGTATTAAAATCAATTACTCAATGCATCATTGTTGCATCAGCATGGAGGTCAGCAGGAAAAGCTCCACATTTCTCAGGTGAGAAGAACCCCTAAACAATACTAAAAAAATTCAATGTGCGGAGTTTTGTTTGAAGCACATGACCTAATCTAACAGGATAAGAGCATTGTTCATTTGTTTCCACACAGACATGATGCAGCTACTATCAGCTCAGTAAGGAATGCCATTGCTGCATCTTTCTATGGAAAAACCCAGCAGCTTAAAAAGTGCTGCCTGACCCAATGAGTGGAGTGCATGACCCACCTTATCATAGATGACTCTGACAATCAACGAACAGCTAGGACATGTTGCAACTTCTTCTCCATTTTCCAGATCTTCCTGAAAAGAAAATGTGGATAACTTAAAAGGTTAGAAATGGTACCAATCACTAAAACCTAGGAACATGATTAACATGGCTCAAGTTGTAAACTATTTTGTCTGGTTACACAAAATCGGGTCACACATTAATGGCATTGTTATGCAGCTTTTTAACCACCCCCTTCCTGGCCAGGCCATTTTTCAGTAATCAGCCCTGCGGTACTTTGAAATTTATTCCGTCATGTAACGCTGTACTGAAATGAATTTTATACCATTTTTTGGGGACAGATAGAGCTTTCTTTTGGTGGTATTTAATCACCACTGGGGGTTTTATTTTTTACTATATAAATGAAAAAAGTACCGGAAATTTCGGAAGAAAAAACTGTTTTCCCTACGTTATATCATAATACATTTATTATTACCCAAATTTTTGGGCAATATATAAAAGACGGGGTCACGTCGGGTAAATAGACACCAAACATGTCAAGCTTTAAAATTGCGTGCGCCCGCGAACTCGCAAAAACTACCATACCCAAAATTGGCCATAGGCGACGCTTTAAAAGCTTTTACCGCTCATCAGTTTAGTGTTATCAGTGATTGATGGCCCTAGAATTATTGCTCTCACTGCGACGTTCGCAGCGATATGTAACATGTGTGGCGTAATGGATGCAATCGTCATTTCCGCACGTAGGCGCACTCGACGCATGTTTACACGTGTATGTGGGGGGCAGGGTACTTAAAAAAAAAATTAAATTTTTTTTTAATTACCTTTATGTGAATTTTAATTTTTTTAAACCTTTTTTTTTCCACTTTACTTTATTGCTATCACATAGGGGACTAACAAGCCACCCTTGATGATAGCCATCGCCAGCAGCGGCTGCAACGGAGGGGGCGCACACCCGCATTCAAGAAGCCGCTGTCCGGCCGGACAGCAGATGGTTAAAGAACTCCAGGAATAAAAAAATTAAAAATTTACATTTAAAAAAAAAAAAAAAACACTTACTCTTGCAGTGGGGGCTCAAATAAAGCAGATCCACGCACCAGATCCTTAGTCCCGTGGTGGTCAGCGTTCGCCTCTCTCTCCCACCAGTTTGAATGTGGAATATTCCTTATTGTCTTCATGTCTAATACAAGTAAATGGGCCTGCGTTAGATGTGATGACCTCAGCATCCTTAGACCTCTGGAGCCCAGGGGGAAAAGATGCTGCGGGAACCGGTGTAGCATCTTGGGACTAAGGATCAGGTGAGTATCTGCTTTATTTGAGTTCCCTAGACAAAACAAGCACTTAACCCTTATAGTGTGGGGGTAGCCCCACTGAAAGGGTACGTGTTTTTTTTTAATTTCTGAAGTTCTTCTTTAAAGCGACATTAATGGATTTTTCCCCTCCCCCCAATGTTAGGGACTTACCTTAAATTATGTCTCTTAATCCTATCATCTTCTTCTTCTTCTTTCCTGTAGTTTTTAGCTGTCCCTCCAGCGCTGCTGCGGGTCTCCAATCCAGCACTGACTCTGTGCTAGCTGGCACTTCCTGTCCCACGTTGTCTGTGCGGGTGCACGCCGTCCATACACTTACCTTGTGTCTCTGCTCGTCTCCCGGCAGAACATCTGAACTGCGCATGCGCCCGCCCCAAGGTGCTTTGCGGCCGCCCGAGAAATGTTAAGATGTTCGGACGGGAGTGCGTGGCGAAGACACAGATACGTTTAAACCTGTTTAAAAAAAAAAAAAAGTTTTTGCATATATCTACTTCTTGCTAGCACTAGATACATGCAAAAACACAGCAGGGTTTAATAACCCTTTAAGGGTATGGGTGCAAAGCCAGACCTAAATCAGTCTATTGCTATAATATTCCCATTGCTTAGCTGGCATAAGGGAATATAAAAAGAAATGACAGTCACTATTTGATTGGTTGCTATAAAATAAATACCGGAGTCTGTCAAAAGGTGGCAAGACACATTTAGTACAGAAAGCCTTCCTCACTGTCCAGTATGACAGCACCCCAGATTGTTCTGTAAAGCAGGTGGCAGTGGGGAGTGTCAGCTGAGTGCGGCAAGGATTTGTTGGTATTTCCTTTTAGGAGCATATGAAGATGCATTTGGGTGGGCCCATATTGTAGGTGCATTTCTGCTGCCTATTTCCGATAATAAAATACTCCCTGGCAATATTAAACCAATACATTTAAAGCATGCTAAATCTCAAGGCACCCCAGTCTAAAATGTTACTTACCATCAATGGGAAACCTGAGCCTGGGATGATGCCCGCAACAGCCCTAGAGTCAAGAAGTGTGAGGAAGTTACCCCAGTGGGGTCACATTGTCAGGAAGTGAGGGGAAATCTCCCCAGTGGGGTCACATGGTCGGGCAGTAAAGGGAAGTCTATCCAATCAAATAAAAACCTAGCAGACTCTCCTCCACTCTCTCTACAACAAAATGTGGGCTGGATTCAGGCTTTAAATGATGGCATGCTGAGACCTGTGGTTTTATAGCAGCTGACTAATGCTAGTCTAGATCCTAAATGGCATGCTAAATTTGCAGGGAAAAATAAGGTCTCCTATCCTGTCAGACAGGGCTGTGTAAATCTCAGGATTGGATGGACAGAACTATGGCAAGTAAAAGCTCCCATATATGTATTCCATTGTGTATATATAACTCCAAGTGACATGTATGGTGGTTACATTAATGAAGTGTCAGCTCCGATGTCCAAGCAATGAGTCATGTGACACGTGATGAGAAGGTCCGCAGTGATGAGTCTCACCTGTGACCAGCAAAGCCCATCTTACCTTACTGATGGCGAACTTATCCCCGCACGGACAAGGGTAAAAATAAGTCTCTGTATCCTCGTCATACTCGAAGTCCTCTATCTCCACCTCGTCATGGTACACCGCCATCCCGGCACCCGGAGCAAAGATCACACAACCTCCAGCACCGCCACAACACGCTGCAACACCCGGTGTTCAAGATGACGTCACACCTCTCCGCCTATCACATACATCACTATTCCGAGACGTCTGTGTTAGAAGCGGCCATATTTGATTCTGGCACTAGGAAAGGACTGACGCTGGAACGCTTCTTTATGATAGAAATCCTAGTGACTGGTCACATATTCAGAAGTAAATGGGATATGGCCATGAGAGAAGTGTAAGAGGAAAGCGTATTGCCTATAGCACCCTATGTTGTGCTATAGGAATGCCTAAATTAAAGTAGACTTCCGGGCAGAAAAAATTAACCCTTGCAGAGGGGCTAACTCCATATTGCAAGGGTTAACTATTTGTTTGTGTCTAGGGCTAAAAATTAAAACAAAGTTATACTCACTCTATCCATTCTGTGGGACATCAACAATGTTGGGCTTATTTTATCCCAGCGACACCAATGGTGAGGTTATTGTACATAAAATCCACCCCAGTTTAATAAAAATAAAAATTATATAATATAAAGTTAAAATAAATAAAAAGTGCCTTTGGCATATTCCGTCTCCAGTGCTGTACCCTACAGAAAGTCTTTTCTGCCACTATATGGCAGTGTGCTCTATTGTGTTGGTATGATAATACTGGACTGGGATCACTTCCTGTGAACACAGGGTGTCAAAGACCTACCCCCTGTAGATACATAATCCAGCTGACCTGTTTTCCTCCCACTGACACCAATGGTGAGGCTAATGTGCATAAAGTCCACCCCATAATAATAAAAAACATGATATTAGAGCTGCAGCTAATGATTATTTTCCAAATCGATTAGTTAGCCGATTATTAATTTCGATTAATCAGATAAAAAATAGAATACATTTTAAAAAATGGCTCCAGTGATGGACTACTAGTTTGTATTGAGATTGTAGTCCATCACAGGAGCAAGCTTGGAGCGGTGGAAGTAAAAAAGAAAAAAAAAGTGTGGAGTGCAATATAGTGAAATGAAAAGTGTAAAATTATACAGCAATGAATGCAGAATGGCACCGGCTATAGAGGACTACAAAACCCAGCAATAGTACGTTATACAGCGCAATGCAGAATACCACCAGCTATAGAGGAATACAACAAATCCCAGCAATAGTACATTATAGCTGGCGGTATTCTGCATTGCGCTGTATAATGTACTATTGCTGGGTTTTGTAGTCCTCTATAGCTAGTGGTATTCAGCATTGCACCACTGTATAATGTACTATTTTTGGGATTTGTTGTACTCCTCTATAGCTGGCGGTATTCTGCATTGCGCTGTATAATGTACTATTGCTGGGATTTGTAGTCCTCTATACAGCGCAATGCAGAATACCACCAGCTATATAGGAGTACAACAAATCCCAGCAATAGTACATTATACATACAGCGTACAATGTATTGCTGGGATTTGTATTCCCATGTATAATATACAGCACACTGTACCATCAGCTATAGAGGAATACAAATCCCAGCAATACATTATAGAGCACCATGTGTGGGTGGGAGTGCAGGCTTAACTGAGCAGTCTTCCAGCAACTTGTTTCTGAGATCGGGCCTATCGGCGGCTGTCATCCGCCCACACCTGCTCCTCCCGCGTCCTTGTGCCGATCGTGGATTTGGGCGGGCGGTGAGCATGAGGAGGTGCGGAGCATGGATGCGGGCAGGTCTGACAGCGGCGAGCGTGAGGTGGGGAGGAGGTGTGGCGTGCAGCGTGTGTGGAGCCGTGAACAGGGCCAACCAATCAGAAGCCAATTAATCGATGATTGAAAAAGTTGACAACTTTTTCAATCATCGATTAGTTGTTGCAGCCCTACATGATATAATATAATGTTAAAATAGAAAAAAACACCATACCTCCAGCAGTGTCCCCTGCAGAAAGTCTTCTGTCACTAGATAACAGTGTGCTTTATTTTATGAAATAATACTGGACTGGGCTCACTTGCTCTGGCTTACCCCCTCTGGACAAATCATCCAACTGACACATTTTCCTCCCACTGACACCCACTATACAGGACTTATTTTATCTTACTCGCACCACAATATTTTTTTTCATTTACTTTGCTCTTACTGACTCTATTGATATAGGGCAGGGTGGGCAACTCTGGCCCTCCAGATGGGCTTTAACTACAAATCCCAACATGTCCCTGGGGCTCTTGCAATGCCTCATGGGACTTGTAGTTCCACAACAGCTGGAGGGCTGGGTTTTCCTACCCGTGATATAGGGGGTTATTTGATCCCAGTGAAATCAAGAATATGGGCCTCTGGGAGCTAGGCTTTAACATCTATCAGTGTGTGTGTGTGTATGTATGTATGTATGGTATGTGGGTGATGTGTTTTCATAGGCCTTCTAATTCCTTTGCATTCATTTATGTGCAGTGCTGTTGGTCTCCTTTTTGGCTGATATGCTTAGTTTTTACAATTCATTTTTCATTTGCCCAATTGTAAGTTTACAATGATTGCTTGCATCTTCTAGTGTTTTTTTCCTTGCTGTTTTTAGGTATTTTTGCATCTCACTTTTGTGCAGTACATTTCTGTTATCAGTTGTTACTAGCACATATTTGTTCTATATCTTCTGTACACATAAAGGTGTTCTATTTTGTGTAATAGTTTCCTATTCATGTAACAGAGTTGCCATCACATTTATTTCTTTTTACAGGCAAATGTCCAATAAATAAACAACAACTGAATATATCTTGTAGAACATGTCTGTCATCTGCCCCTCCCAAATCAAAGCTTTCAGAAGATTCACGCAGGGCCCTTGCAGGTTTCAGCAGGCTTTCAGTAAACTTCAGCATTATTTCAAACCTGTTGAAAGCCTGCTGAACCGAGCCCTGTGTTTACCATCCTCAAAATGGAACTGAAGGTTGGTTCTAAGGGCTTAAAGCTGCTTAAAGGTTAACTCGACATCCCAACTCTCCCAGACGTTCCAGGAGTCTCCCGCTATTAGAAACGGCTCCCGGACGCCAGGGAGAAAAACGTTTTCTCCCTGAAAGGTTTACTCTGCTTTTTCTGGCAGAGTAAACCTTTTCCTGCTATCTGTTTCTTTATGCTGATATCAGAGCCGCCAGCAGAATACATTTTTTTTTTTAAAAGACAGCATAGATATAAATAGCCAGATTACTATTGGCTATTTGAATTTGCAGCGCTAAAAAAAACTTCCAATTTAGCGCTGTACAGTTTACTAAGGATTGATTGAGGCAACAGCCTTTGTGTAGTAGCTTTTTAACCTCTGTTGCTTTTTGGTTGACTTCCATTAGCACAGATTAATTGATTACCATATTTTAATTTGCAATAGCCAATAGCTGGCTAGCTATTGCACCCGCCCACTGCTGCTGTCAATCAGCAGAGGTGGACCTGAAGTTCTCCATCAGGTCCCCCTCTGCTGATTGACAGCAGCAGAGTGTGGGTGCAATAGCCAGCTTGCTATTGGCTGTTGCAAACTGAAATAGCCAATAGCAATCTAGCTATTCATTCCTATGCTGGTTTTTTCTGTTTCTATTCCGACGGCAGCAGATGTCCGAAAAACTAGAAAAAAACAAAACACTAGCAGATAGCAAAGAAGCTATAGCTTCACGTACTATCTGCCATCATTTTAGGGGAGTGCTCCCCCCCCTTCCCCTCCAGAGGGCACCTCCCTGAAATTACTTTTTTCAGGTTGGGATCCCTGGCAACTCGACTTTCAAAATCCCTTAAAAAATTGATACAGCATATAAAATTGTCACACAAGCCATTTTGCTACATAATGATATTAAATACTACCTCTCCATTTAAAACTGTAGCCGCTTTAATGTTCTAAATCTGTTAAAAAAGTCAATACAATATGGCGACCCGGAGGCACTCCCAGAAATGTCACTTCCTGCTTCTGTGATTGGCTGACTGATTGTCCTAGAAGTCTGCTCTAACATACAAGGCATCCCTTGCAGTAGGAATTTTATTTTTGATGAGATACTCCCCAAGGCTGCATTCACACCTGCGCATTCTGTGGCCCAGCTCTCCCACAGTTCCACTTATTTCCTATGGCCCTAAGGTCCATCTAATAGCCATAATGCAGTGTTTCCTGATATTACTTTCAACCTGGAAAGAACTGATGTACACTAACAGGCTTATTCACATAAGGGTGAGGAGTTTGGAGTGGGCAGGAGAAGTGATCAAACTAGGACAACATAGCTGAACTGGAAAGTGAACTGAATTGAAGAATTTTTCCAGTTTAGCTATGTTGTCCTAGATTGTTCACTTCTCCTGCCTTCTCCAGACTCTTCACCCTTTTGTGAATAACCCTGTAAATGTTTCAGTACGAATGACTCTGCAAATTGTTTATAAAAACATCCTTTAGGGTTGCAAGTTCATTCACTTAAAACCAGATACATATACCGTAAACTACATGGTTTGTGTGGTTTATTAATGAAGTCCATTCAGTGGCTTGCTTTAAAACAAACTTGTGCACTGCTTATTTATGACAAAGAAACAGATTTGCTTTATTACCCATAATACCCCATCATATGCTTACATTTTCATTGCTCCTCTGTTCATTACTGGAAGTTATTGGACATAACTGGTATGTAGGTGCATCTGATTTGCACCATGTGAAAGGGCTAGGTGGTTCACTTTGAGGATACCAACCATTTTTTTTTTCACCAGACGGCTCTGATTTTGATCTTATGTTACTGACCTAATTTGTCCACTGACTCTTCTGTGGCTCTCCTTGGTTTGTTGTTTTGCTCCTGTGTTAATTCCAGCTTGTACTATTATTCAACCACTATTACTGCTTGCAACATTGGTTCTACGCTGCCTGCAAGTTGCTCACCAGGTCCAACCCATACTCCATCTCTGCCTGCTGTTTGCCTGATTGTTGCTTACTCTGGCTTATCCCTGGACTATTTTCACCAGTGGCCTGCATCAACTGTCCTTCCAGCCACAAGTCGACTGCACTCACAAGTTCTAGTGGTTGCAGTAGCTTCATCACCCACCTGCATTCATGCCACTCCTTACACTCTCTCATGCCCATCCATACACTC